ATAGAGACCTCGCCCTCATGGTAGACGACTGAAAACGTTGGTTCCAGAAAACGCGTTTCGAGCCCCTTTCGCCTATCCAAAAGAGCCCCCAAAGGAAGGCTTTGAGTACAACTAAACTCCCCAGGGGAGCCTTTACGCAGCCCCACATGCAACTGGACCCTCCGTATTCGCTCTTTCACATCAATCCAAATATAGCCCTGGAACTCATTGCAGACAACAGAAAACTCGTGCCATAGAAAACGTGTTTGAGTCCCTTTCGCCCATCCAAAAGTGCCCCCAAAGAAAGATTTTGGGTACATCTGAACTCCCCACGGGAGCCTTTTTGCAGTCCCACATGCAACTGGACCCTCCTTATTCGCTCTTTCACAGCAAGGCTAAAAATATCCGTAGCCGGCATCGGAGACGACTGAAAACTCGGGCCAAAGAAAACGCGTTACGAGCCCCTTTTGCCCATCCAAACGAGCCCCCAAAGGAAGGCTTTGGGTACAAGTGAACTCCCCAGGGGAGCCTTTTTGCAGTCCCACATGCAACTGGACCCTCCGAATTCGCTGTTTCCCAACAACCCTAAATAGAGCTCTGGCTGGCATCAGAGACGACTCTAAAATCGGGCCAAAGAAAACGCGTTTCGAGCCACTTTCGCCCATCTAAAAGTGCCCATAAAGAAAGGCTTTGGGTACAACACAGCTCCCCAGGGGAGCCTTTACGCAGCCCTACAAGCAACTGGACCCTCCGTGTTCGCTGTTTCCGAGCAATCCTAAATATATCCCTAGCCAGCTTCGGAGACTAATTAAAACTTAGAGAACAGAAAACGCGTTACAAGCCCCTTTCGCCCATCCAAAAGTGCCCCCAAAGAAAGGCGTTGGGTACATCTGAACTCCCCTGGGAGCCTTTTTGAAGTCCCACATGCAACTGGACCCTCCTTATTCACTCTTTCACAGCAAGGCTAAATATAGCCCTAGCCGGCATCGGAGACGACTGAAAAATCGGGCCAAAGAAGACGCGTTACAAGCCCCTTTCACCCATCCAAAAGTGCCCCCAAAGGTAGGCTTTGTGTACAACTGAACTCCCCAGGGGAGCCTTTATGCAGCCCCACATGCAACTGGACCCTCCGGATTCACTCTATCACCGCAAGCTTAAATAAAACCCTGGCCGCCATGGGAGAAGACTGAAAACTCGGGCCCACAAAAATGCATTATAAGCCCCTTTCGCCCATCCAAAAGTGCCCCCAAAGGAAGGCTTTGGGTACAAGTGAACTCCCCAGGGGAGCCTTTTGCAGTCCTACATGCAACTGGACCCTCCGTGTTCGCTCTTTCCCAACAACCCTCAATACAGCCGTGACCGGCATCGGAGAGGACTGAAAAATCGGGCCAAAGAAGACGCGTTACAAGCCCCTTTCGCCCATCCAAAAGTGCCCCCAGAGGAAGGCATTGGGTACAAGTGAACTCCCCACGGGAGCCTTTTTCAGTCCCACATACAACTGGACCCTCCTTATTCTCTCTTTCACAGCAAGGCTAAATATATCCGTAGCCGGCATTGGAGACGACTGAAAAATCGGGCCAAAGAAAACGCGTTACAAGCCCCTTTCGCCCATCCAAAAAAGCCCCCAAAGGAAGGATTTGGGTACAAGTGAACTCCCCAGGGGAGCATTCATGCAGTCCCAAATGCAGCTTGACCCTCCGAATTCGCTGTTTCCCAACAACCCTAAATAGAGCTCTGGCTGGCATCAGAGATGACTCTAAAATCAGGCAAAGAAAACGCGTTACAAGCCCCTTTCGCCAATCCTAAAGTGCCCCAAAGGAAGGCTTTGGGTACAACTGAGCTCTCCAGGAGTGCTTTTACGCAACCCCACATGCAACAGGACCCTCCGGGTTTCTCTCTTTCACAGCAACCCTAAAAAGTGTCCTGGCCGTCATGGGAGAAGACTGAAAACTCGGGCCCACGAAAATGCTTATAAGCCCCTTTCGCCCCTTCAAAAGTGCCCCCAAAGGAAGGCTTTGGGTACAACTGAACTCCCCAGGGGAGCCTTTACGCAGCCCCACATGCAACTGGACCCTCCGTATTCGCTCTTTCACATCAACCCTAAATATAGCCCTGGCCCGCATTGCAGACGACTGAAAACTCATGCCATAGAAAACGCGTTTGAGCCCCTTTCGCCCATCCAAAAGTGCCCCCAAAGAAAGATTTTGGGTATATCTGAACTCCCGAGGGGAGCCTTTATGCAACCCCAGGAGCAACTGGACCCTCCTTATTCGCTGTTTCCGAGCAACCCTAAATATAGCCCTAGCCGTCAGCGGAGACGACTGAAAAATCGGGCCAAAGAAAATGCGTTACAAGACCTTTTCGCCCATAAAAATGTGCCCCCAAAGAAAGATTTAGGGTACATCTGAACTCCCCAGGGGAGCCTTTACGCAGTCCCACATGCAACTGGACACTCGGTATTCTCTCTTTCACAGAAAGCATAAATATATCCCTGACCCTCATGGCAGACGACTAAAAACTCGGGCCCCAGAAAACGCGTTTCGAGCCCTTTTCGCCCATCCAAAAGTGCCCCCAAAGGTAGGCTTTGGGTACAAGTGAACTCCCCAGGGGAGCCTTTACGCAGCCCCACATGCAACTGGACCCTCCGGGTTCACTCTTTCACCGCAAGCCTAAATACAGCCCTGGTCGTCATGGGAGAAGACTGAAAACTCGGGCCCACAAAACTGCATTATAAGCCCCTTTCGCCCATCCAAAAGTGTCCCCAAAGGAAGGCTTTGGGTACAACTGAACTCCCCAGGGGAGCCTTTACGCAGCCCCACATTCAACTGGACCCTCCGTATTCGCTCTTTCACATCAACCCTAAATATAGCCCTGGCCCGCATTGCAGACGACTGAAAACTCATGCCATAGAAAACGCGTTAGAGCCCCTTTCGCCCATCCAAAAGTGCCCCCAAAGAAAGATTTTGGGTACATCTGAACTCCCCACGGGAGCCTTTTTGAAGTCCCACATGCAACTGGACCCTCCGTATTCACTCTTTCACAGCAAGGCTAAATATATCCCTAGCTGGCATCCGAGAGGACTGAAAACTCGGGCCCACAAAAATGCATTATAAGCCCCTTTTGCCCATCCAAAAGTGTCCCCAGAGGAAGGCTTTGGGTACAACTGAACTCCTCAGGGGAGCCTTTACGCAGCCCCACATGCAGCTGGACCCTCCGTGTTTCCTGTTTCTGAGCAACCCTAAATATAGCCCTAGCGGGCATGGGAGAAGACTGAAAAATCGGGCCAAAGAAAACGCGTTACAAGACCTTTTCGCCCATAAAAAAGTGCCCCCAAAGGAAGGCTTTGGGTACATCTGAACTCCCCAGGGGAGCCTGTACGCAGTCCCAAATGCAGCTGGACACTCCGTATTCTCTCTTTCACAGAAAGACTAAATATAACCCTGACCCGCATGGCAGACAACTAAAAACTCGGGCTCCAGAAAATGCATTTCGAGCCTTTTTCGCCCATCCAAAAGTGCCCCCAAAGGTAGGCTTTGGGTACAAGTGAACTCCCCAGGGGAGCTTTTACGCAGCCCCACATGCAACTGGACCCTCCGGGTTCACTCTTTCACCGCAAGCCTAAATACAGCCCTGGCCGTCATGGGAGAAGACTGAAAATTCGGGCCCACAAAACTGCGTTATAAGCCCCTTTCGCCCATCCAAAAGTGCCCCCAAAGGAAGGCTTTGGGTACAAGTGAACTCCCCAGGGGAGCCTTTTTGCAGTCCCACATGCAACTGGACCCTCCGTATTCTCTCTTTCACAGAAATCCTAAATAGAACTCTGGCTGGCATCAGAGACGACTCTAAAATCGGGCCAAAGAAAACGCGTTACAAGACCCTTTCGCAAATCCAAAAGTGTTCCAAAGGAAGGCTTTGGGTACAACTGAGCTCCCCAGGGGAGCCTTTACGCAGCTCCACATGCAACTGGACCCTCCGGGTTCGCTCTTTCACCGCAAACCTAAGTATAGCCTTGTTGTCATGGGAGACGACTAAAAAAGCGGGCCTCAAAAAACGCATGGCAAGTCCCTTTGGACCATCCAAAAGTGCCCCCAAAGGAAGGCTTTGGGTACAAGTGAACTCCCAAGGGGAGCCTTTACGCAGCCCGTAATGCAGATGGACCCGCCGTATTCTCTCTTTCACAGAAACCCTAAAGATAGACCTGGCCCGCAGGGCAGACGACTGAAAACTCGGGCCCCAGAAAACGCGTTTCGAGCCACTTTCGCCCATCCAAAAGTGCCCCCAAAGGAAGGCTTTGTGTACAGCTAAACTCCCCAGGGGAGCCTTTACGCAGCCCCACATGCAACTGGACCCTCCGTATTCGCTCTTTCACATCAACCCTAAATATAGCCCTGGCCCGCATTGCAGACGACTGAAAACTCATGCCATAGAAAACGCGTTAGAGCCCCTTTCGCCCATCCAAAAGTGCCCCCAAAGAAAGATTTAGGGTACATCTGAACTCCCCTGGGAGCCTTTTTTGCAGTCCCACATGCAACTGGACCCTCCTTATTCACTCTTTCACAGCAAGGCTAAAAATATCCCTAACCGTCATCGGAGTCGACTGAAAAATCGGGCCAAAGAAAACGCGTTACAAGCCCCTTTCGCCCATCCAAAAGTGCCCCCAAAGGAAGGCTTTGGGTACAAGTGAACTCCCCAGGGGAGCCTTCACGCACCCCACATGCAACTGGACCCTCTGTCTTCGCTCTTTCTGAGCAACACAAAACATAGCCCTCCCTGGAATCAGAAAGGCATTCAAAATATGGCCCCAGACGGATACGTGTGCTTTTATAGTGCAATGGCTTCAGAAGCAAGAGGGGAGAAAGCACTTTCTCTGGGAGCTGGAGAAGGTTTCCTAGTCGCAGGAGAGGTTTCTAAATGGCATATCTTTGCGAGTGTTTCTGTAGTCCGGAGGTTTTTGTTTATTTGTTTACCTTTGGAAGGTTTTACTCTTAATCTTCACGTCCTTCAGCAGAAGTGAGAAATGTGATTTTATTTTGTGCAGTGTCGCGGACCCTCCGAAATCTACTGGGAATGATGAATACCTCGCACAGTACCAATGTGATGACGGTGGAGACAAGGAGAAACCAAGAAGATCAAAAGAACGTGACCTCATTTCAAAAGAAAACGTTTTGTACGGCAAAGAGTCTTCTGAGCCTGGTGAGAAATTGCGGCAAACTTCCTCTCTCAAGTGTGACACTGAATGTAGCTCTAAAAAGCTTTCCTCCTCAGCTATTGCAGAGAGATGCCAAGGTAGAAAGGACAAGACTAAAAACACTGAGAAAGAGCATTACCAAAGCAAGAGGGAACATGCTCCTAGTGAAGAGAAGGAGAGTCAAAAAGCAGGTCCTTCCAGCAAGAGGAGGTGTTCTCGAGCGTGGAAGTTGTTGAGCAAAAGCGTCACAAGCAGGAGCGCTGGGAGGGAAGCAGGTGCAGATCTTTCCCTGGTGAAAGAAACAGCCCTGAGAATGGCAGAAGAGCAGTCAAATATTCAAGGTACAGATCTGGCAGCGGAGGAAGATCAGAACAAGGTAGCAATAGATATTAGCGATCCAAAGGGGAAAGAAGTTGGAGCAGAGAAAGATACTATCGAGATGAAGCACGGAGATGGGAAAGATGTAGCTATTACGATGATTACTATTCACCTCATGCGACAGGAGACAGTAGAGAGAGAAAGTCCTCTCACGGCGATGCAGCCTTTGACAAATGGACTGCAACTTACTACGGCAGGTCACATAAGCATTATCATTACAAAAGTGGATGGCCTCACGGTTCCCGCTTGAGAGATGAAGATGTATGTCGCTTTAGCACACCCCGAGCAGACTTGCATCGTTGCTCGGTATCTCAGCAACATTCTGGAAGACATTCTCGTGAAAGACATACGCTTCCACCTGTGTCAGCTCATTTGGAGAACCGTCGCCAGAAAAATGAAACAGAAGAAAACAGAAAAAGAAAATACACCCGTGCAGAAGGTAGTGAAAGTGAAATAGAAAGGAAAGACAGAAAGATAGAAAAGGAGCTTTTAGGTGGTGAAAAAAATGCAAAAATATCACAAGTTCTAGAAGAAAAAGAAGTCTAAGGATAAACATGGAGAGAAGGATTCCAAGTAAGCAAGGATTCCAGCATACTCCGCATTTTTTATCCTAATTCTTTTTTGGGTGCTTCTCATGTATTTTTTTTTTTTCTCCTTTTATTTTCTTCTCCTTTTTTCTTCTTCTTTTTTTTTTTTTTTTTTTTTTTTTTTTTTCTGGTAGTTTCTAAGTTACTTAGATAGCATCAGCTGGCTGGGGATCATGTTGTTAGGTTGATCGGTGAAGATAGGAAAGCTATTGCTGAATTGTGTCAGAGCACTAGCTTTGGACCACATAGTTGGAAACACATCCGTACAGCATTCTGGATTAGGTTAAAAGTTTTTTTTCTGCTTGCACGTATTCCAGAGCTAGCCATTGGTAATGATCTGTGTACAACCAGGACCTATGGTCCTTCAATCTGAGGGCTTAAGTTTGCTACATCTAAAGTAAGTTGCGTGTGCACAAAGCACCACAAAATAGCTGACATGCTGCAAATCATCACCTGTGGTAAAATAAATAAAGTTTCATATAGGCAACAAGTGCCACATCTTTTTTTCTCTTTTAAACTTGCATGTTTCTTTCAGACTTCACGATTTGTGTTTCTGTGCGCTCCACTTTGACAATGCCAATCACAAGCGTAAAAAAAGAAGAAAAAGGAGAAGAAAAAGAAAAAAAAGAGAAACAGCAGGAAAGTGAAAGGCTCCTTGGAACACTTAGATCCTCGTTTCCAGAAGATAACGCGGGAGAAGAAGGAAGAATCCCGTCCTCCAGATGGCTCTTCATGTGAGCAATGCAGAAGTGAGAGCAGTAAACAACCTTACAAGGAAGGGAAGCCTTCCAGTGCAGGCGAAAGCAAGAAATACAGCTCCGTCTCATCCAACGAGTGTATTAAAGGTAAGCGGGCGCAGTGTGTTTGAGGAATTCCTTTTCTATTAATGTAGAGATTATTTCAAACAGTCTTGAAGTGCTTGGTGACTTAACAGTCTGCTGGATATTAAAAAAAAAAGTTGATGGACTTTTTCTTTCCGTTTTTAAATGACCACTAGGAAAGAAGGCCTGAAATAAAGAGGTGAAAGGCAAATAGTTTTCATTTGGTGTGATGATTAAGTGTCAAACAAGAGGAAGAGTTGCAAGATCCCTTCTTAAATTCAGTCCAGCCAAGTAGGAAAAGTAAATGTGGACAGCTGTATCTTGGCAAAGAAGATAGTAGGGAGCAAGGAGGTTTAGCAGTCAAGATGGTAGGTGATGCCATGAGGCTTACAGGCTAGTAATGTTCTAGTGAAACCCAGCCTTCCTAAAGAAGCCCGCCTGAATAATTCCTGTGAATAACAGACTCTGTTCAGCTATTTCCTAACATAGAAACGGTGCTGACTGCTTCTTCAGAGTAACATAAGTTAGTGATACTACTGAAATAGTTGTGGTTCAGATGTAGATCTGATTTCTCCTAAGCATGCTGAATTCACAGCTGTTGATCCTCCAGAGGAGACTTTGCAATTGAACACCTGGAGAATAAGGAAATTTCCCACTGCTGTTCTCCTCTCCTCTTGTTTTGTTTTGTTTTGTTTTGTTTTCCTAGTAGCATAGGCTTAAGACTCTGAGGAAACGGGCTGCTTTTTTTTCATTTCCAACACTGGCTGTTCCTCCTGAGCCCCGCCTTCTATTTTTGCAGTCACAGGATATGTGAATGTAAATTCTTGGGAGAGAGGTAGAAAACTCTGTTTCAACTGGTGTTTTTTTCGGCTATGTGGGGAGACCAAATAGGGTGGTTTTGAATCTTCTGGCTCTTATTCAGAGCAGCAGCATGTGGAGGGAGACAGATGCGTGTGCTTTTTTAGTGCAACGGCTTCAGAAGCAAGAGGGGAGAAAGCACTTTCTCTGGGAGCTGGAGAAGGTTTCCTAGTCGCAGGAGAGGTTTCTAAATGGCATATCTTTGCGAGTGTTTCTGTAGTCCGGAGGTTTTTGTTTATTTGTTTACCTTTGGAAGGTTTTACTCTTAATCTTCACGTCCTTCAGCAGAAGTGAGAAATGTGATTTTATTTTGTGCAGTGTCGCGGACCCTCCGAAATCTACTGGGAATGATGAATACCTCGCACAGTACCAATGTGATGACGGTGGAGACAAGGAGAAACCAAGAAGATCAAAAGAACGTGACCTCATTTCAAAAGAAAACGTTTTGTACGGCAAAGAGTCTTCTGAGCCTGGTGAGAAATTGCGGCAAACTTCCTCTCTCAAGTGTGACACTGAATGTAGCTCTAAAAAGCTTTCCTCCTCAGCTATTGCAGAGAGATGCCAAGGTAGAAAGGACAAGACTAAAAACACTGAGAAAGAGCATTACCAAAGCAAGAGGGAACATGCTCCTAGTGAAGAGAAGGAGAGTCAAAAAGCAGGTCCTTCCAGCAAGAGGAGGTGTTCTCGAGCGTGGAAGTTGTTGAGCAAAAGCGTCACAAGCAGGAGCGCTGGGAGGGAAGCAGGTGCAGATCTTTCCCTGGTGAAAGAAACAGCCCTGAGAATGGCAGAAGAGCAGTCAAATATTCAAGGTACAGATCTGGCAGCGGAGGAAGATCAGAACAAGGTAGCAATAGATATTAGCGATCCAAAGGGGAAAGAAGTTGGAGCAGAGAAAGATACTATCGAGATGAAGCACGGAGATGGGAAAGATGTAGCTATTACGATGATTACTATTCACCTCATGCGACAGGAGACAGTAGAGAGAGAAAGTCCTCTCACGGCGATGCAGCCTTTGACAAATGGACTGCAACTTACTACGGCAGGTCACATAAGCATTATCATTACAAAAGTGGATGGCCTCACGGTTCCCGCTTGAGAGATGAAGATGTATGTCGCTTTAGCACACCCCGAGCAGACTTGCATCGTTGCTCGGTATCTCAGCAACATTCTGGAAGACATTCTCGTGAAAGACATACGCTTCCACCTGTGTCAGCTCATTTGGAGAACCGTCGCCAGAAAAATGAAACAGAAGAAAACAGAAAAAGAAAATACACCCGTGCAGAAGGTAGTGAAAGTGAAATAGAAAGGAAAGACAGAAAGATAGAAAAGGAGCTTTTAGGTGGTGAAAAAAATGCAAAAATATCACAAGTTCTAGAAGAAAAAGAAGTCTAAGGATAAACATGGAGAGAAGGATTCCAAGTAAGCAAGGATTCCAGCATACTCCGCATTTTTTATCCTAATTCTTTTTTGGGTGCTTCTCATGTATTTTTTTTTTTTCTCCTTTTATTTTCTTCTCCTTTTTTCTTCTTCTTTTTTTTTTTTTTTTTTTTTTTTTTTTTTTCTGGTAGTTTCTAAGTTACTTAGATAGCATCAGCTGGCTGGGGATCATGTTGTTAGGTTGATCGGTGAAGATAGGAAAGCTATTGCTGAATTGTGTCAGAGCACTAGCTTTGGACCACATAGTTGGAAACACATCCGTACAGCATTCTGGATTAGGTTAAAAGTTTTTTTTCTGCTTGCACGTATTCCAGAGCTAGCCATTGGTAATGATCTGTGTACAACCAGGACCTATGGTCCTTCAATCTGAGGGCTTAAGTTTGCTACATCTAAAGTAAGTTGCGTGTGCACAAAGCACCACAAAATAGCTGACATGCTGCAAATCATCACCTGTGGTAAAATAAATAAAGTTTCATATAGGCAACAAGTGCCACATCTTTTTTTCTCTTTTAAACTTGCATGTTTCTTTCAGACTTCACGATTTGTGTTTCTGTGCGCTCCACTTTGACAATGCCAATCACAAGCGTAAAAAAAGAAGAAAAAGGAGAAGAAAAAGAAAAAAAAGAGAAACAGCAGGAAAGTGAAAGGCTCCTTGGAACACTTAGATCCTCGTTTCCAGAAGATAACGCGGGAGAAGAAGGAAGAATCCCGTCCTCCAGATGGCTCTTCATGTGAGCAATGCAGAAGTGAGAGCAGTAAACAACCTTACAAGGAAGGGAAGCCTTCCAGTGCAGGCGAAAGCAAGAAATACAGCTCCGTCTCATCCAACGAGTGTATTAAAGGTAAGCGGGCGCAGTGTGTTTGAGGAATTCCTTTTCTATTAATGTAGAGATTATTTCAAACAGTCTTGAAGTGCTTGGTGACTTAACAGTCTGCTGGATATTAAAAAAAAAAGTTGATGGACTTTTTCTTTCCGTTTTTAAATGACCACTAGGAAAGAAGGCCTGAAATAAAGAGGTGAAAGGCAAATAGTTTTCATTTGGTGTGATGATTAAGTGTCAAACAAGAGGAAGAGTTGCAAGATCCCTTCTTAAATTCAGTCCAGCCAAGTAGGAAAAGTAAATGTGGACAGCTGTATCTTGGCAAAGAAGATAGTAGGGAGCAAGGAGGTTTAGCAGTCAAGATGGTAGGTGATGCCATGAGGCTTACAGGCTAGTAATGTTCTAGTGAAACCCAGCCTTCCTAAAGAAGCCCGCCTGAATAATTCCTGTGAATAACAGACTCTGTTCAGCTATTTCCTAACATAGAAACGGTGCTGACTGCTTCTTCAGAGTAACATAAGTTAGTGATACTACTGAAATAGTTGTGGTTCAGATGTAGATCTGATTTCTCCTAAGCATGCTGAATTCACAGCTGTTGATCCTCCAGAGGAGACTTTGCAATTGAACACCTGGAGAATAAGGAAATTTCCCACTGCTGTTCTCCTCTCCTCTTGTTTTGTTTTGTTTTGTTTTGTTTTCCTAGTAGCATAGGCTTAAGACTCTGAGGAAACGGGCTGCTTTTTTTTCATTTCCAACACTGGCTGTTCCTCCTGAGCCCCGCCTTCTATTTTTGCAGTCACAGGATATGTGAATGTAAATTCTTGGGAGAGAGGTAGAAAACTCTGTTTCAACTGGTGTTTTTTTCGGCTATGTGGGGAGACCAAATAGGGTGGTTTTGAATCTTCTGGCTCTTATTCAGAGCAGCAGCATGTGGAGGGAGACAGATGCGTGTGCTTTTTTAGTGCAACGGCTTCAGAAGCAAGAGGGGAGAAAGCACTTTCTCTGGGAGCTGGAGAAGGTTTCCTAGTCGCAGGAGAGGTTTCTAAATGGCATATCTTTGCGAGTGTTTCTGTAGTCCGGAGGTTTTTGTTTATTTGTTTACCTTTGGAAGGTTTTACTCTTAATCTTCACGTCCTTCAGCAGAAGTGAGAAATGTGATTTTATTTTGTGCAGTGTCGCGGACCCTCCAAAATCTACTGGAAACGATGAATACCTCGCACAGTACCAATGTGATGACGGTGGAGACAAGGAGAAACCAAAAAGATCAAAAGAACGTGACCTCATTTCAAAAGAAAACGTTTTGTACGGCAAAGAGTCTTCTGAGCCTGGTGAGAAATTGCGGCAAACTTCCTCTCTCAAGTTTGGCACTATATGTAGCTCTAAAAAGCTTTCCTCCTCAGCTATTGCAGAGAGATGCCAAGGTAGAAAGGACAAGACTAAAAACACTGAGAAAGAGCATTACCAAAGCAAGAGGGAACATGCTCCTAGTGAAGAGAAGGAGAGTCAAAAAGCAGGTCTTTCCAGCAAGAGAAGGATCAACTTGAATACAAAGAATACAAACCTGAGCTCCTGATTGGCTTCATGCTGAACTCTGTGCTGTTCTTGTCCTAACCTTGGTTTCTCCATAGATACTATGGTTTAAATCCAAATAGAATCATGTGATGAGGAAGATCTCACTGCAACAAATTCAACATCTAAAATCAAAGTTTACATTTTCCGTGATTTTCTTCCTGAGCAGAAGTGTGGAGTACTCCTTTTCTATTAATGTAGAGATTATTTCAAACAGTCTTGAAGTGCTTGATGACTTACCAGTCTGCAGGTTTATTATCAAATCCAAAAAAAAAACGACTTGTTAGACTATTTTTTTCCCAGTTTTGCATGATAGGAAAGAATGCCTGAAATAAAGAGGTGAAAGGCAAATAGTTTTCATTTGGTGTGATGATTAAGTGTCAAACAAGAGGAAGAGTTGCAAGATCCCTTCTTAAATTCAGTCCAGCCAAGTAGGAAAAGTAAATGTGGACAGCTGTATCTTGGCAAAGAAGATAGTAGGGAGCAAGGAGGTTTAGCAGTCAAGATGGAAGGTGATGCCATGAGGCTTACAGGCTAGTAATGTTCTAGTGAAACCCAGCCTTCCTAAAGAAGCCTGCCTGAATAATTCCTGTGAATAACAGACTCTGTTCAGCTATTTCCTAACATAGAAACGGTGCTGACTGCTTCTTCAGAGTAACATAAGTTAGTGATACTACTGAAATAGTTGTGGTTCAGATGTAGATCTGATTTCTCCTAAGCATGCTGAATTCACAGCTGTTGATCCTCCAGAGGAGACTTTGCAATTGAACACCTGGAGAATAGGTAAATTTCCCGCTGTTGTTCTCCTCTCCTCTTGTTTTGTTTTGTTTTTTTCCCAGTAGCATAGGCTTAAGACTCTGAAGAAACGGGCTGCTTTTTTTCATTTCCAACACTGGCTGTTCCTCCTGTAGAGATTACATCAAACAGTCTTGAAGTGCTTGATGACTTACCAGTCTGCAGATTTATTATCAAACCAAAAAAAACCCCGACTTGGTAGAGTATTTTTTTCCCAGTTTTGAATGACTACTAGGGAGAAGGTCGTTCCGGCATCAAGAAAGACATTTGGAATGTAACAAAATTTACTGAACCAGTAAATAAAAACTATATTTTTCTATTAGTTCCATTGTTTCAACTCTTGTGACGCTTATGGATGGCATAGATAACAGAGGGGAGATCGTGGTAATCGGAGCTACCAACAGACTGGATTCTATAGATCCTGCTTTACGAAGACCAGGACGCTTTGGCAGAGAGTTCCTCTTCAACTTGCCAAATAAAGAGGTGAGAACTTAAATTGAATGTTAGTGCTACCATGGCAAAGTCCAACTTTATAGGAAAAAAAAATAATTGACAATTTGAACAAAAGAGTGATATGTGGAGACACTGCATTGTTCCATGGAGGGCAAATCTGGTACTGGATATATATGGTCAGTATGATACCACCAAGTAGTTAGTTTTATAATCAAACCTTTCATTCCCAAAGTTGTACCTGTTTGCTTAATTATTTAGTCCACTTGGGCGTTTTCATCATGAAGTTGTGTTTTTGGTCTCAATCCTTCACTTATGAATGAATAGGGGACATGTTTGCATTTGATTGTGCCCCGGATCAGTGGTAGTAGTTTGAGTCTGTGGTGTAAATGCCTGAAGTAACTAGGAAAATAGAACTAACATTCACATTTTTAAGGAAAAGGTACAGCTTTGAAGAGGCTTCCAGGGTAGGGCATAACTGCATTATCTGAGCGTTCCCTAGGCTCCCAACCTTAGATGCTATCGCGCTGGGGAAACTTGGTGTGCTAGCTCTAAGGAACACCACAGAGTGTGGAGTGGAGTGGAGACACCACGGCTAGGCTCTGTAATCAGGTGGGACCTCGATTGTTCTTGTGCACAAAGCTGCACTTTTTGCCACCCTAAGCCAAAGACCTGTCATTTTTTGACAAATGCTGTACCCTAGTGTACTTTTTGCTCATTATAATATCATTATAATACCAAAACACACCTCCATCCCAAAAGCTACCCGCCTCCAAGGTGCGACCACCCCTCACTGAGCATGCGCTCTGAATTTCTCGGAGCCTATTACTTTAAACGGAGACGAGCAAACTTTACACCAATCATAACTAAGATATGCTTGACTAGAGCCACTCAAGCTCCACCTAAAAGATAGAAAATAATATAAATTGGCCCAAGAGAGAGGGGATGTCAGGGAAGATACCATCGCCAGAGGAGATACCATCCCGAGGACATACAACATCCTTAGGACCTCCTGACTCCTGGGATCAGTCGATGGGCTGAGCCTCTCTTCCCCCCCCATTGGGACGCCTTTGGGTGAGATCTGAATACTTGCTTATAATCTTTTAACGCGTTTATTTCTAGGCTGCGCACCTGTAACACCTACAACACCTATAACATCTGTAACATCTATAACATCTAACACACCTGTAACATCTATAACATCTATAACATCTGTAACACCCACAACACCTATAACACCTGTATAACATCTGTAACACCTATAACACCTGTGTGTTTCATGCATACTAGCTTGCTTTTGCAGACAGTCACTATCGCTGGCAATCCAAAAGAACCTGATTATCTGTTGCTGTAATAAACCATACTTGATTGCATTGTGATAGCTCTCATTAATGCAACTAGGGTGAGGGTGGTTATCCGTGATAGTTCAGTGTTCTGAATCTAACCAGACCCCCAGACAGTTAATGCATTTTTGGTGAATGTCTGAACGGACCCCCAGGTGGTTAATACGTTTTTGGTGAATGTCTGAGCGGACCCCCAGGCGGTTATTACATTTTTGGTGAATGTCCGAACGGACCCCTAGACCGTTAATGCGTTTTTGGTGAATGTCTGACTGGACCCCCCGGCGGTTAATGTGTTTTTGGTGAATGTCCGACTGGTTCAGTACTCTGAATCCAACCGGGCCCGTAACGGTTAATCAGCTACACCCCTTTAACGCGACAGAGTCATAATTATTTTCTTCTTTATAGTAATTGTAGCAATTTGAAGCATTGTGCCAGAAGTGCTTTCTGTGAATTTACTGCCTGAAAAGCAAATGTGATGAAGTAATGAGACTGTCACAATGAAAGCTTGCTAAGTTTTAGAGAAGTTTTTTGGACAACAAAGAAATGTTTCTGGATAAATTTTTCATTACAGTATTTTCCTCTGGGTCATTAGGTCTCGTAGTTTGGAAACTTGTTATTGAAGCTATAAATGCCTTTTCTTTCATTGTAGGTTCCTAGAAAAAGTTCAGTATAACAAATAAGAAATACTCAATTTCCTGGTTGAAAATGCAGAGTGTATATTAAATAACTGTAAAATACTTTAAAGTTGAGCAAGTAAGAAAAGGGCATTAATAGATGAGGGGTTTTGAGGGAGGACTGTTTGTTTGTTTGTTTGTTTGTTTGCTTTTTGGTTTGTTTGTTTCTTGTTGGTATTTTTAAGGAAAACTTGGGACAAGCTAAAATGCAATGATTTTGCTTCCAGGCTAGAAAAGAAATTTTCAAGATTCATACTCGTGACTGGACCCCTAAGCCACCGGACATGTTGCTTGATGAACTAGGTGAGAAATGCATTGGTAAGACTGAAACCAAAATGGATTCTTGCTTGTGAGCAAGTTGTAAAGAACCTTAGCTTGTACCAGGCAGTACCCAAGCTCTTGTGCCTTGCTGCACAACTAGTCAACGAGGCAGCTGGCACACCTTCATAGCAATCAGAGTTAGATGCTTTCATCTATTTACTCTTTGTTGTCATTCCTCTTGTTGTCTGAGAACGTTAAATGGTTCTGGGGCATCTTCCTCAAGAGTATAGTTTTTGATGAGGAGTCTGCTTCAGCTGCATAAGCGCAGGATATCAGACAGTGCGCAACATGAAACTTCCCTGCAGAGCAGTAGCACTTTGAATTCCCTGTTAACCTGTTTGGTTTTGGCATTACAAATTCTTTAAATGTTGCATGTTGTAAACCTGGGCCTTGACTGATGTAACGTTTGATTTTTGTTTGTTAGGATACTGTGGTGCAGATATCAAATCTTTATGTACTGAAGCTGCGCTGTGCTCTCTACACCGATGCTATCCTCAGATTTATGCAAGTAGGGAGAAGTTGCTACTAGACGTTAATTCTATTAAAATAAAAGCAAAGGACTTTTTCATGGCTGTGAAGAAGGTTGTTCCGGTCATACAGGATCGTGGCTTCACCCGGACAAGCACTATCACCCATTTTCAAGCCACTTTTTAAAAGATCAGTGGCGAATATTTTACAAGTTGTGCAGAAGATCTTCCCACATGCACAGCTTGCACTAAAGGAGGACCGACAGCAAGGTATAACCACAGCATCCACTTCTTTATAATTCTGCTAAAGCAAAAACTTGTGGTTTGTGCAATCAACTTAAACCTTTCAGACATAATGATGGTAGAATTTTATTATTTGCATGTGCATGTCTTTCTTTTGGGCATATCTGGAAGATAACGCATAGGTTTTATTCTGGATTCGAAACTGAAATGCCAAATGGAAGCTCTGAATGACTCAATACACAGTAAAGGATGATGCATTCTATACTGAAGCATCTTGCTTCTGACGGCAGCTAAGATAATTAGCATTTGTAGAGGTTGACTTGAGGTTTGAAGTATAAGGCACCTATTTTTCTTTAAAAAATAAAAACTCAGATATTTGGAGGGGAAGCATTTCTAGGTCAATGTTTCTAATTCCTTTCTGAAGAATGTCAGGACCAGGATACAAGTATAACTGGTCTAAGCTAAATATTGTTTTAGCTATCATCGTTTTTAACCAGTCTCCTAATTTAAATGTTTGTGGATTGTACTATACATGTGCACGTGAGATCAATTAGCACTGATATTTACTAGATGAATGGAATTCTGTGGCCATCACATCCTTAATCCCCGTGCTTTCATTGTGGGAACCTCCTCCAGAAAGAAATGGTCTTTTTTTTTTTTTTTTTTTTTTTTTTAGCTATTTGGCAACTGCAGAAATTGTTTGTAATCTCCTTTATTCTAAGGGGGAGAAAAAAATCACCATTTTTTAATGTGCGGGGATGTTTGCTTCTGTCTGAAAATCCCCTTTTCTTCTAGACAAAACCACAAACAATCTGGATGTTGTACATGTCCACATTTTCCATACCGAATTTTACAGTGACGATGTTGCTAGCAGCTCATGAAGCTGGGCGGTGTTGCTAATAAACATCTCTTTGTGGAAAGAAATGCTGCTCATCTCCCTGGGATCCAGAAAGTAGTTCTCATTGCCTCCTAAGGCTGTGTACTCCCAGTAGATGGCTCTGTATCAGACTGCATGTCGGCTACTTTTTGTAGCCTTCTTCTAAATTATATTAGTAAGGCAACCAAGGTTTGGGGCTTCTGTTTATTTTGTTTTCACACGGACATACACAACTTGTGCCGTTGCAGTATGTGCAATAAAAGCATTAACATTCACAAAACACTTCATTTGCACGCTGATGTGGTTTTAACTAGAAAAAATAAACAGATCTGGTGTTTTTACTTTTAGGCAGGAAATCCATTTTATTGTTTGGCATCACTACCTTAAAATATTTTTACCTTTAGTGGAAACATTTGAGAGCCATACAAGTAAGGACAGACATGTTACACGACTGAATACTGATGTGTCTCATAAGAGGGACATTTCCTTTCTTTGTTATGCGAAGATTGTGGCTGTGGCCATATAGCTACGGTGTCTAGCCACTGCCTGAATATATCCTTCCCATCTTCTGACTAGAGTTCTTCGAATACTGGTAATCTGAAAGGGTGCACAGAGAAATTCCTTATGTGAAAGGATGCTTGCCACTCTGTTTCATTTCATGGGGCAGTCAGGTGGCTATGTAGCTATGTATTAACAGGTTATTCTACGTGTTTTAGTTTTCTTACCCAAGCTTTCCTTTTCACTAGCTGATCCGAAATGCTCAGAAGACAGCACCAAGCATAATTTATGTCCCAGATATCCATTTATGGTGGGACAACGTTGGACCCGCCTTGAAACTTACTTTTCTAACTCTACTACGTAACATTCCAGCATTTTCACCAGTTTTGCTGCTTGCTACGTCTGATGTACGTCACTCAGATCTCCCAGAAGAGGTATTTGTCAATACTTTTCTTACTATTTCTTCAGTGTCTTGTAATTTATGAATGCTTTCAGCATCAAAATGCTGTGCTTTCTTAAATGCATACTGTTATTACTCAGGCACCCTAACAAATCACTTAAAATTTGCTTAGAGAAAAAGAATACTGTGAAAGCATCTGCTTAAGGTTTTTTCTGAGTCAAGCAAGTGACTTTCACCCCCTTCTCACGCATGCAAATAATAAATTAATACAATAATTCCGGTGGCTACAAAGTGGTTCAGTCAAGAATATGCAGTGCTTGAAATGACAAGAGGATGTTTTTACTGAAGAGATTTCTTCTGACAGTCTGCCATTCCATGCTATGTTGGGTAAACTGCTAATAATGCAATTTAATAGAGAATTGAAACATTTTGATTAAAAAAAAAAAAATCAGTTTCTTTCTTCATATAGGCCAAAGCTTTCCAAGCTGGAAAGCTGAGTTCCAATTTCTGCTAAAGTAACTTTGGAATGGAATTCTAGTTGTATTCCTAAATAAACTGTAGTAAAAGTACATGCAGAACTTCATTGACTTCTGAGAGTTTACATTAAGGGAAGGTGCCCAAAACAGGAACACGCTGTTCTCATTCTGATTATTTTGTCTCAGTTATTGGGGGAAGAGAACGGGTCTTACCTAGACGTGTTTATTATCAACTGCTTTGAAAGTGCTTGAGTTCCCACAGAAGTTTTTGTACAGGTTCTAAATTCCTTCTAAAATAAGTAGTGAAATTCCTTACCTACCTTTTAATACTAGAAATTGAAAATGGAGGAAGACGTAGAGGTACTAGCTACTTCAGACACCTTTTGGTAGAGAAATAAAAACTCAGCAAAAAGCCCTCACTTGTCTGCTGAAGCCTTTCTCTTCCCTCTATAGCCATAAAGGTTCTACGTAAAGGATGCAGCAAGGCAAGTAAATACAAAGGAAGCGATGTTGGATGTGGTGAAAGGCATTACTTTATCAGTGTAGCGTACAATCCCTTCAGCGAGCTTTAATTCTACAGGTGATTCTTAAAGGTGATATTTGAATTTGCCGTGCCAGCCTGTGAAAATGTAGCCTTTTAAGGCCAGGAAGATAACTTTTTTCAGGTTGTGTTCTTCAGGTTATTATTCATTTTAAAAGGTACTCGTCTTTTTGGAATAGAAGATGAGTTTTTGTGGCCTTAAATCTGAAATGTCTTTCCTCCTTCTGCTTTAGATCCAAAAATTATTTAATAAGGAATTTGGAGAAGTGTGCAATATTGAGTTGCCTGGTAGGGCAGAGAGAGCAGCTTTTTTTGAGGACCTAATTCTAAATCAAGTGGCTAAGCCTCCTGTAAAGAAAACAGGTGAGGAGGATATAAGAAGTACATCTAAAACTTCCCTATCGAAGTTACCAGCTCTTTGGGATTTGCTTTGGTGGTCATTTTCTGCCAGTAATTTGTCATATGCTTGTATTTGAGTACTGTAAATTGGCTAATTTTTCCTGATTAATTGAAGTTGATCGGACATTGGAAGTCCTGCCTGTAGCACCACCAGCTGAGCCTCAGAAGCCACAAGAGGAAGAAGTAGGGATGCTGGAGGAGGAAGAGGAGGATACCTTGCGTGAACTTAGAATTTTCTTGAGGGACGTTACTCACAGACTTGCCACTGACAGACGTTTCGGGGAATTTGCAAAGCCCGTTGACCCACAGAAGGTAAACTAGTGCTGATCTGTGTGTGTCTGTAACTTCTCAGTGTTTGTATTTCTCAGCGTTTTGGGGAAGGTTCAACTTTGTTTTTAGGGCTGCACTATTAGGATTTTGCAAGAAGCAGAGGCAGTGCTTTTACTTCTGCTGACTCTCAAACGTCTCTCATCGGATTATTCGCTGAAAGCCCTGGTTTCATTCTAAAAAGCCAGTCCAAATGCCAACACAGTCTGCTCGTGAAAAGGCTTTGATATGTAGGCATGTCACAGCACTGAAAAGCACAGAGATCTTTCCTTATAATTACAAACAGTACTTACAGGACTACTTTAATGAAGTCTAAAGCCCTTTATTGGACTGTCAGTTCCTGTGGGAACAGGAATAGGAGCAGCAGTTTGTAAAAATAAGTTTTGAGATCCTGTTCTCTGTTTCATCTGGAACTCCTCAATAGGAATCAACCATAAGTGCAGTGCATTTTCTTTTTCCTCCAATTGGCTGCTTAGATCCCTTTTTCTCCTTAATTGATTAGATAAGCCTAAGCTAGGGGCGTATATTTCAAAGACAGGTGTAACTTGATTATACCTGCGGATAGCGGGTATTGCGGATACCCTCCTCAACCTCTTTTTTTTTTTTTTTGATTTTTTTGATTACCTCCTCCTCCTCACGTTCTTTTTTTTCTGTATTTGTGATTTTTTTATACAACCTACTCCTCCTCATCCTGTTTTATCTTTTTGTATTTGTGATATTTGTGGCCACCTCCTCCTTGTCATCCTCTTTTATTTTTGTATTTGTGATTTTTTTATACAACCTCCTCTTCTTTATCCACTTTTTTTTTGTTGTATTTGTGATTTTTTTGGCCATCTCCTCCTCCTCAAGCTCTTTTTTTTTTTGTATTTGTTATTTTTTTTAACCACCACCTCCTCCTCCTCCTCTTTTTTTTTTTTGTATTGGTGATTTTTTTGGCAACGTCTTCCTCCTCCTCCTCTTTCTTTTTTGGTATTTGTGATTTTTTTATATAATCTCCTCCTCATCATCCTCTTTTATTTTTGTATTTGTGATTTTTTTGGACACCTCCTTCTCCTCATCCTCTTTTTTTTTGTATTAGTGCCTTTTTGGCCACAACCTCTTCCTCTAGATGCTCTTTATTTTTTGGATTTGCGATTTTTTTGACCACATCCTCCTCCTCAACCTCTTTTTATTTTTTTGTATTTGTGATTTTTTTTGGCCAGCTCCTCCTCCTCCTCTTTTTTTTTTTTTGTATTTCTGATTTTCTTTGCCACCTCCTCCTCCTCATCATCTTTTTCTTTTTTGGTATTGGTGATTTTTTTTGCCACCTCCTCCTCATCATCATCTTTATTTTTGTATTTGTGATTTTTTTCCAACCTCCTCCTCAACCTCTTTTTTTTTTTGTATTTGTGATATTTTTGCCCACCACCTCGTCCTTCTCATCCTCTTATTTTTTATATTTGTGATTTTTGTGGCCACATCCTCCTCCTCATTTTCATTTTTTTTTTGTATTTGTGATTTTTTTTTGGCCACCTCCTCCTCCACTTCCTCGTTTGTTTTGTATTTGTGATTTTTTTGGCCACCTCGTCGTCTTCATCCTCTTTTTTTTTTGTATTTGTGATTTTTTTGGCCCCCTCCTCCTTCTCCTCCTCTTTTTTTTTTTTGTATTTGTGATTTCTTTTGGCCACCTCCTCCTCCACTTCCTCTTTTGTTTTGTATTTGTGATTTTTTTTGGCCACCTCCTCCTCCTCATCCTCTTTTATTTTTGTATTTGTGATTTTTTTGGACACCTCCTTCTCCTCATCCTCTTTTTTTTTTGTATTAGTGACTTTTTGGCCACAACCTCTTCCTCTAGATGCTCTTTTTTTTTTTGAATTTGCGATTTTTTTGGCCACAACCTCCTCCTCCACATCCTCTTTTTATTTTTTTGTATTTGTGATTTTTTTGGCCAGCTCCTCTTCCTCTTTTTTTTTTTTTTTTTTGTATTTCTGACTTTTTGGCCACCACCTCACCACCTCCTCCTCCTGTTGCTCTTTTTTTATTTGTATTTGTGATTTTTTTGGCCACTTCCTCCTCCTCCTTCTCTTTTTTTTTTTTTTTTTTTTGTATTTCTGACTTTTTTGGACATCCTCCTCCTCCTCCTCTTTTTTTTCTATTTTTATTATTTTTTTGGCCCCCTCCTCCTCATCATCCTCTTTTTTTTTTTGTATTTGTGAATTTTTTTGCCACCTCCTCCTCCTCATCCTCTTTTTTTTCTATATTTGTGTTGTTTTTGGCAACCTCCTCCTCCTCTTTTTTTTTTTTGTATTGGTGAATTTTTTGGCAACCTCCTCATCCTTGTATTTTTTTTGTATTTGTGAATTTTTTCGCCACCTCCTCCTCCTCATCTTTTTTATTTTTGTATTTGTGACTTATTTATAAAACCTCCTCATCCTCTTTTTTTTTTTTTTTTGTATTTGTGATTTTTGTGGCCACATCCTCCTCCTCATCATCTTTCTTTTTCATATTTGTGGTTTTTTTTGGCCACCTCCTTCTCCTCTTTTTTTTTTTTTGTATTTGTGATTTTTTGTCCACCTCCTCCTCCTCCTCTACTTCTTTTGTATTTGTGATTTTTTTGGCCACATCCTCCTCCTCATCCTGTTTTTATTTTTTATTTGTGATTTTTTTTGGCAACCACCTCCTCCACCTCCTCTTTTTTTTTTGTTTTTGTGATTTTTTTGCCACCTCCTTCTCCTCCTGTTTTTATTTTGTATTTGTGATTTTTTTGGCCTCCTCCTCCTCCTACTCCTCTTCTTATTTTATATTTGTGATTTTTTTGGCCACATCCTCCTCCTTTTTTTTTTTTTTTTTTTTTTGGATTCGTGACTTTTTTTGCCGCCACTTCCTCCTCCTCCTCTTTTTTTTTGATTCGTGACTCTTTTGGCTGCCTCCTCCTCCTCGTTCTTTTATTTTTTTGGATTCGTTAATTTGTTGGACGCCTCCTCCTCCTCTTTTCTTTTTTGTATTTGAGATTTTTCTGGCCAGCTCCTCTTCCTCCTCCTCCTCCTCTTTTCTCTTTTGTATTCGTGATTTTTTTGGCCACCTCCTCCTCCTCTTTTTTTTTTTTTATTCATGAAAAAAGAAAAAGGAGGATGAGAAGGAGGTGGCCAAAATTGATCACAAATCCAAAAAGAAAAGAAGGAGGATGAGGCCAAAACATCACAAATACTAAAAGAAATAGTAGGAGGAGGAGGAGGCAAAAAAAATCACCAATACAAAAAAAGAAATGAGCATGAGGAGGAGGAGGTGATCAAAAAAATCACAAATACAAGAAAAAAAAAAGGATGAGGAGGAAGAGGAGGCCAAAAAAATCACAAATACAGAAAAATAGAGGAGAAAGAGGACGTGGTGGCCAAAAAAATCACGAATACAAATAAGAGGATGAGGAGGCGGAGGGGGCAAAAAAATAACAAATACAAAAAAAAAAAAAAAAAGAGGAGGATGAGGAGGAGGGGGTGGCCAAAAAAATCACAAATACAAAAAAAAAGAGGAGGAGGAGGAGGAGGTGGACAAAAAAATAACAAATACCAAAAAAAAAAAAAAAAGGAGGAGTAGGTGGCCAAAAAAATCTCAAATAGCAAAAAAAAGAGCATGAGGAGGAGGAGGTGGCCAAAAAATTAAAAAAAAAAAAAGAGCATGAGAAAGAGAAGGTGGTCAAAAAAAACACAAACACATAAAGAAAGATCATGAGGAGCAGGAGGTGGCCAAAAAAATCACAAATACAAAAAAAAAAAGAGCAGGAGGAGGAGGAGGAGGAGGAGGCCAAAAAAATTCAAAATAGAAAAATTAGAGAAGGAGGAGGAGGAGGCCAATAAAATCACAAGTACAAAAAAAAAAAAAAGAGGAGGAGGAGGAAGAGGTGGCCAAAAAAATCACAAACACACACACAAAAAAAAAAAGAGCATGAGGAGGTGGCCAAACAAAATCACTAATACAAGAAAAAAAGGATGATGAGGAGGAGGTGGTGGCCAGAAAAATCACAAGTACAAAAAAAAAAAAAGAGGAGGAGGAGGAAGAGGTGGCCAAAAATATCACAAACACAAAAAAAAAAAAGACGAGGAGGACGAAGAGGCCAAAAAAATCACTGATAGTACTTCACATCCTGTGCATCTGCCAACATCTGCATCTTATGGTTGCCTCCCCTACTTAAGAGAGGATGCTGGAGTGCTGTGTGAAACACTCAGATCTTACGTAAACAAAGCAAGACCTTACCTTTTGCATTCAAAGATGTGCCCAGTATGTTCAGCTAAAACAACTTCTACCCTACAGCGTTTTGTTGAAAGTTCCAACTTCTGTCTCAGTTTCATGTACACCAAATTTTCCAGCAGGATTTCCAGGCCAGTGTTGTCTGTCTGTGATAGACTGCTTTGCTAGATCATCATTCACTGCTCCCTCTGCCAGGCACAGGCCTTTTTGTCTTAATCCCTTGTACGAAAACTTGCAGAGGTATATTTGCCCATTTGCAGGTAGCTTGTGCTCCTCTTGCAGCGACGGTGTACTTAACCCAGTATTTGTCCACGAATGATAACCCCTGTGCTTAGGCAAGGAGTTAAAAGTTTAAACAGCAAAAATCCCATGGCTTGCTGTAGCTGAGCAAACCTCCTCCTCCTTGGCCTCCTCCTCCACCACCTTCTCCTCCTCCTCTTTTTTTGTTTTTATTCCTTTTTATTTTGGCTTCCACTTCCACCACCTCCTCCTCCTCCTATCCTCCCCTGTCCAACGCTCTGGCTCCCACTGCCCCCCTTTGGCCCATTTATAGGGAGGAGCAGCCACATCCCCGATTGATGACAAGCCATTTGCATAATAGCTAACAATCGCTACCCAGGCAACCAGGCCACAAGCAACGCATCACACAGCATCATCAAGTTGCTAGGAGCAGCCAGCTGCTACCTTACAGGGCTACTGTGCCATGGTCCTGTGGGATGACAAATGGAACTAGAATTAGGAGCAGTG